TTAACCTAGAAGGTAACACCCACACACAGGAAATCAATGTGAGTCAATGCCCTGTACTATCCTTATCTCAACCAGCAAAAACCCTTGTTCCTTCCTATTAGCTTATACTCTCTCTACAACAAAATTAGAAATAAGGGCAAAAAGTTTCTGCTGGGTATTGAGGGGGGGAGGAGGGAGGGGGGGAGTGGGTAAGGGAGGGGGGGTCAGGGGGAGAAAGACAAGCCTTGTATGCACATATGAATAATAAAAAAAAAAAAGAAAAATAAATAAATAAATAAAAAATAAATGTCAAACAGAAAAAGAAGACACTTTATACCCAAAAAACCCTAAAAATATAACAACAATCTAATAACAACTACGTATTTTGTTAAAATTTCTCAGAGAATTTCACTGTCAGCAAAGAATTACACATTCAGTCCCACAGTCACGCAACCACCAACCAGAAAACTATGACTGAAGCAGAGAGCAACAGTGCGGGGTTATGTCCAGCTCTTGAGGTGTCAACATGGCAACCCCTTATGACAGTGCTTTAGAAAACAGAAACCCAATACACAAGGGAGTCCTGTGTACAATAAGCACAAAACAGTGAGAACACAGGAATGAAGAGTAGGAAAAGGCATAAAAATGTATATTAGAAACAAATGTGGTAAATTTTCAAAAATAAGAAAACACTGATAAAGAAATGGACACGTACAGAATGAAAGCATCAAAGAACAAATAATAAACCATAAGTACAAAGGAAATGCAGGGGGTTTGATGAATGCATATTCAGATTATAAGCCTAATGTCATTCAGAAAGTTCTGAATTTCTCAGCACCAATTATTATAGTGCTGCTGCCATGGGTTTAAAAAAAATCTAAGATTTGAATGATATCAAAAAAAAAAGGAGCAAGGAAGCAAATGCCAACAACAAAGCACGGAGGTATTGGTTAAGCACTTTCTAGGATCATCAAAATATTTCCAATGTAGTGAAACCTGACTGAATGTTATCATTTAACTTTATATCAGAAGCATTATGCTCAGAGTGTTAAATATGGTACTCTGGAATTTTTCTCCCTGACTACATATTGTTTTATTGAGTTCCTGAACCATACATAATTTAATCCATTCCCTATAGTAAACATTAAGATTTCAACTTAAGCTTTCAACATTGTCAACTAGTCTCTTCATTTGACATATTGCATGGTATGTGTTGACTGTATATTGTCTATCTATGTGTCTGTGTATGCACATGGTATTTAAATGATTTCATAACAGAAATATAAACAAAAGAAGAAGAAATTTTAGTTCACTATAACTTCTTTTATTTGACATAGTCTTGATCTTCTTTTTCTTACTTCTATAGTCCTTCCTACTGTAGTAAAAAAAAAAATCCTAGGAATAAATCTATTCTCTGATCAATTTAACTGTACATGCTGAAGTCAACAATAGATGCATCATTGCTCTGCTGGCGATGTGAAACAAAAATAACTCACCAAACCACAATAGGCTAATCCTTAGGAAGGACTCATTTACTGACCCAAATAATATCATAACCTTGGGGTCCTCAATACCCCAAAGCATTAGCTACATCTGCCTTTTAACTTTGAGGGAGTTCTAGGATTTGACATGGTTGTAAAGAAAATTCTAATCCTGTCAGAGTACAAAACTGAAATAGCTGACATTAAATATAAAAATTGCTCACATTTATATAGATAATTAAAACAGCATGTTTTTCTAAACACAGAGACTATTAACTGGACAAGGATTTAGAGTGCTTTATATTTGGAGTATTTCATAATGTATTGAAGTTTTTTGCTATCCTTTTAATGGCTGATTTCAAGATTTAGTATTCAACTTATCCAGGGCTTCCCTGATTTGGAGGAGTCCAAAAGTTATTTAGCCACAGTGATTGGATGAGAAGTTGGCTGCTAAGGACTTGCAAGAGGAGAGTCAAAGTGGAAATATAGAAATACAGACAAATAATGAGTACAGTGGAAGGAACCAGAGGTATGAAAGTTGCAAAAGAACATGTGAAGAATATGCACAGTAGAGGTAGAAGAGGGATGGTAAGAAGTGGCTGAAAAGTTCCAAGAAGGAAAAGGATATCTCCAGGTAAAGCAATAGCTTCAGGAAAATCAAGGGAAGAAAAAGCATTAGAAAATATCCAGAATGGGGAATTAAAAAAAAAAAAACCTACCTGAAAGGATGGAAAGAAGAATTCAGATAGGGAACTGAGGGAAATGAAGCAAAAGAGAGAGAAGCACACACTGTATTAATAATGGCCTCAATCCCACACTAAGGAATTAAATTTATTCTGTATTGAAACAGCAGGCATCCTCACAACCAAAGTAAAGAAATATCCTGCAGGTTTTCTAAGGTGTTTGCCCCCTCCAAATGGATTAATCCTCTCAATTCTATATTCCTTCCCTTTGACACTAAACATGGACAAGAGCACAAATGTGCCAAATATCAACACAGCACAACAGGAGATGGGTTATCTTCCAAATCTCAGTTTTAATTCAATTTGTATAATTATTTTAATACCAGAAAATTTTTTTAAAATAGAATTTAATCCACGTTCCCATATTAGCTTGTAAATTCCCAAATCTTGGAGAAAATATAGTTGGAAAATTTCAGTTAAAAAAAAACAATTTAGTGTATGAATTTAAGGTTTTTTGCAAAAAATGAATTAACATTAGTTTTTATAACAGTGCTCTTAGTCTAATAATCATTTTTTGTGCAATTCCCTCTTTCCTCACTAACACAACTATAATGCCTTGCTGATAAACATGGAAACTATTCTTCAAGGAAAGAAAACAAGCTGAAAGTCAGGAGATGTTTGATGATCCTTATCTATGGGATCTACCACCAATCAGTATGATTCTACAGTTTCAGGCCATTTATCAAGAGCCAGAGCAGGGTCCTAAAGAGAACAACTTAGAGGTGACTCATCTCCTATCTGCACAAAAGCTCAGTCAGGTACCATTTCTCTCTATGGGGGGTCACAGTCCAGCTTCAAATAGAAAAACACTAGTTCATTAACAGGCACATTGACCATTGTATGCAATTTCTCAGATGCACTAATACAATTACTCTCCCATAAAAGAAATGCAAAGGAGCTAAGTAGTTGAGGTAAAAATCCCCAAGGGCAGTTTGTGATCCAGTGAGTGCCAAACGATTGTACATTCTCAACTAACAAGATAATGTTCAATCAATTCTAATAGTTCAAATAACTTGGACTCAGAGGGAAAAGGGTGAGGTAACATTCAAGTGCCAATGATATATTAAAGAATATTTTCCATTTCATTTCAGAAGCTTGTGAAATTCTTTAGCCATCAGAAAAATTTTACAATCACCATGTTTCAACAAAATATTTAACCTTAAAACCCTTGAAACAACTTTGTTAACTAATCGATTATAAATTTGCAAGCAATACAGATGAAACCAGAACTGCTCCCATGGAGAAGCTCCATGTGATGCTCACATCAAAAAAATTACTTCCTGGGAAACAAGCACAACAGAGAAAAGCAATGTGCCTTATATTTTAAGTGTAGCCCAAACTAATCAGAGAAAAATGCTGAAGGCAAGCTATGAAACTGAAACAGATATGTGTAAAGCTCTTCTTTGAGATAGTAGCTTTTTCTAAATTGTTAATTAGGTCACCTGCCTGTAAGGCTGCTGTCAAGGGAGCAACTCAATAGGGTTCAAGTTTCTTGTCTGTATAAATACATTTACCAGACCATATCAACAATATTACAGATTTTTTTCTTATAACTGTCTTTTGTAAACATATATAGTAGAAAAAAAGACCACATAAGGGTGGTGGTACATCCTATACAACCAATCCAGGATGGAATTCGGGTTTGAATAATAAAAGTAATGCAGCATATACAATATTTTCCATAATTCATCATGCTGAGTTGTTCATTTTTTTTGTTTTCTGAGGCAAGTCTCACAATGTACCCCATGTTGGCCTTGAACATGCCATCCTCTGCCTTACCCTTCCCAATGCTGGATTACAGATGTGAAACATCACACCTAGCTCAACTTCTTCTTCTTCTCTGATTTTATTTCAGCTAGCATAAATCATTTCCTTCTAGTGTTGATAAAATCAAAGCACAAATTTGTATAAAGTAAAAGATAATACATATGAGTATTGTCTTTTACAAATTTTTACAAAATTTATATAAAGTAAAAGATAATACATATGAGTATTGTCTTTACAAATACATATGAGTATTTTGTTTTGCTGAAAATTGAGTTTGAACCCAGGGCCTCACACTTATTAGGCAGGTGTTATACCACTTGAGCCACACTCCTAGACCTTTCAGCATTAGCTGTTTTTCAGGTAGGCTTCCCACATAGCTGGGATCATAATGAGTACCAACCACCACACCTAGCTGATTGATGGAAATGGGGTCTCTTAACTTTTTGCACAAACATCCTATGCACTTGATTCTACCTCGTAAATAACTACAATAATAGTCCATGAACCACCACTCCAGCTTGAGAACTGATTCCTAACTCCTGGAAAACCTCTGGGAATGACAAACTTTAGGATTTACAAAAGACTTTTACTAATGATTCTAATAGATTATTTGAAACAAGTTTTTTCTCTCCTTTTCTTTCTGTGGGACTCGGGGTTTGAACTCAGGGTTTCAAACTTGCAAGCAGTTGCTCTTCTGCTTCAGCCACACATCCAACCCATTTTGCTTTGGTTATTTTGGAGATGGAGTCTCTCAAACTATTTGCACAAGTCACTCTCAAACCGTGATCCTCCAATCTCAGCCTCCAAGTAACTAGGATTATAGACATGTAATCGAACTATGTCAAGCAAGACTTTATCCCTAAAATCCAAATCCCCTTTGCCTAAGAGTTGTTTTATTACATGCGATCTCCAAATGATATCCATTTGACACAGGATCAATGTGCCTCTCTACTGAGCAACTTTTCACAACAGATTATACACAACAAATGGTATATACAAAAAAATATTCTGAAGAAGGTCACAAACTCACCTTCATCACTTGCCACCTGCTGCTTTACAACAGTCATTGGGGACCTGGATGGAGGCTTAGTAAGTGGATGGCGCCAACTCTTAGCAGTTTTGGTCTCTCCCTCTATTGTCTGGTTATAGAACAAAAATGGAAAAAGTCAAAGGATAGTTCACAATGATTTATGGTAATTATGAAAAAATCTTGTGCTTATTTACCACTTAAAAAATTGTGCTTATTTACCACTGAAAAAAATTAGACTAGTGTCAAAAAGAAGAAGAAACTGCTCTGCTGTTAATTTTTCCAAAAGGTCAATTAACTCTCCTTCAACTTCATGTTAAAATACTAACTAGCTGGCAGAGTGGCTCAAGTGGTAGAGCATCTGCCCAGCAAGCATAATGCCCTGAGTTCAAATCCCAGTGCTGCCAAAAAAAAGGGAAAACAATTAAATGAAACTTATTTAATTACTAACTGTAGTGCAGGGTACTCTTAGCAAATGAGAGCTCAGCAGTTACAGAGTTTTCAAAAGACCTTTATTTAACACTAGCCTAAATTTAATGACATCTATTCATAAACTATTAAGAACTGTGTTATTGCAACTCTCTACCCTGTGCCTATGTGAAAATATGACAGGTGATTTTGCTATCTATCCTCACAGAAAAGGAAATCTAGCCAAACTGAAGGTGTACCTTTCCTTTCATTCAGAAATGAACCAGACAAGGTCTTCTGACATAGCCCAGGCAGACCTCAAACTCATGATCTTCCTGTCTCAGCCTTCCAGGTGCTAGATTACAAGCACGCACCACTCTGCCTGGCTTGAAAAATACTAGTTTTTTCAATGATACACTGCTGTCATCATGAACCATTTAAGTTGTAAATAGTGAATGTTATTTTTAAACTTATCCTAACCACCTTTTCAAACAGATCAGGACAATTTTTACATTTTTTCATTTTTTTTACATTTTTCATGTGCTTTTTATGAATGTTTTTAATATTTTTAGTAGAGTATAGTTGTACAGCAGAGTTCCATTGTGACATTTTCATACATGCTTACAATGTACCTTGGTTTGATTCAACCCCTCCATCATTTTCTCTCATTCCCCTTCTTTCAAAAACAATTTCAACAGGTTTTACTATTTTATTTTGATAAATATATACATTTTATAGTTCAATGGAACACATAATCCTGCATACAATGATAAATTCTATTGGGTCAAATAAGGAAATTTGATTTTATTTGACATTTTAAGACTACGGAGAAACTGTATTCAAACTTGTTGTTGTGCTTTTATAATGTGCCATGCTACTAAAGAATACAAAAGACCTGAGGTAAGTTTAAACAACCATGGTGGCCCACACCTATAATACCAATTACCTAGGAGGTAAAGATGGGTAGAACAGTGGTTCAAGGCCAGCATGGGCAAAACATATGTAAGATCCTATCTCAAGCAATAAGGCGGGCATAGAGGCACACATCTGTGGTCTTAGCTATGTGGGAGGTAATGAAAGGACACAGTCTGAGGGCAGCCTGGGAAAAATACAAGATACTACCTGAAATATCCCCAAAGCAAAAGAAGCAGTAGGAACATAACTCAAGTGGTAAACAGCCTACCTACCCTGACTTGAAAGACCAAAACCAAAACAAAACACCAGGAACAATTAAGAGGTAGGTCTGTTCACCAGCCAGCTCAGCCTACTACCACAAACAGCTGAAGCTGTCTGTACTCACCCACTTGAATTTCCTCATCAGCTTCAACATGCCAACAGAGGTTCAGAGGCTGACAACAGTCCTAACTTAATAGGCAAGTAAGGTTCCAGGTACTGTTTATGCATATAATAGCAATATTAGAAAAACAGGAAGGGGAGTCCCTATCCAAAATCCAGAATGGGGGTGGGTTGGGAATCTAGAGGGGTTTTTGAATTTTCTGAGAGGCAAAAGGATGATTTTTAGGAGTGGGCATGACACTGATACTATGATTCAGTGTCCAACACAAAAAAGTCAAAGAAAAAATGATTAGGTGAAGCATAATGTCAAAATAGAGGCTGTAGAAAGCCAACATGCAGAGGTTAAAACTGTTAGCAGGAGGAGGGTAGAGCCCAACTGGAAATTCTTCCCAGCCTGCGAAATACTGCATCTTGCCTATATCAATGTCAACATGGTTGTGATTTCACACTGAAAACTGGGTCAAGAGTGCACAGAAATTCTCGTACCACTTCTTACAATTGCATATGAGTCTGGCTTTATCTAAAATAAAGACCTTAGTTATATATATATACATATAAAATTAACCTTCAACACGTGGCCAAAGTCCTATGCTTAAGATGATCACAATGAGGACCAGATCTCACAAAAGGCTTACTTCTCACTCATTAAAGAAATATGGTTAAAACCCCTATTTATTTCTGACCTAAAGCAAAATTTAAATGCATAGCATGGTGTTTTCAGAAATCATCCTCAATATACAAGGAATACAGTAGTAATAGATACTGCCACATACACTGGGAATTTTGAAGCTGTTTCTCTCTTCACTGAGGAGCACTGGGATTTCCCCAGGTTCCAGGCCACTTCCATGGCCCTCAACATCACTCTCTTCTCCCTCTGTAAACACATCATTACTCTCTGCCACTGAAGAATATGACTCAGGAGATTTTGGCCATGGGTACTCAGGTGGGTCTGATTCTTCCATTTTCACCTGACCACTAGATGATATGGAATCACTGGGCTTCTTAGACATAGATGGTGTAGTTATGGCACAGGCTTTCTCATCTTCAGTTTTTGTTTCTTCCATCACAGATGCACTTAAGCAGCTATTTCCTGTGAAGTAAAAGACTATTAATAAATCTTCGATTGCACTATAACTAAGTAGGATTGTTCATCTATTCCAACTGATTATATGTCTTCTAACTTTCCCTCTCAACATCCATAGACATAGGGGTAAAGTGTCACCAAAGCATCATGATGCCTTCAGAGTCACTGAGGTGAGAGCCTGAACTTTGTTTAAAAAAAAAAAATTCCACTGACAAAACAAAAGATTAGAATGAGGTTCTACTACATACCAACATCAAAAAGCAGGACAATCATAATAGTTATCAAAACAAATGTTGATTTGAAATCTATCTAAAAATAAAAATGATATACAAATATGTGATGCTAAGAGCTACTAAATTAAGCATTCCAGTTCTGAGAGCGTATGTAAATGGCAAATATAAGCCCATAGACATCCAATAAAAATCATTTCCTACACTAATCCTATACCATACACCAAGAGCATGGAGAAGACCATGGCTGGGTATGACCTTCACATGGCCATTATATAATGTTATGTAATCATTGGCTTCCTTGTTCATAGGTAGTGAAGAATATGAACCAGCAATCCCCTCCCCTGACATAGCAACTCACCTGTCTCCTTTATACACACACATAAATACACATACATACAAATACACAGAAAAAAAAGGATCATTTCTACCGATCACATACTAACTATAATACTAAAACCAGCCAAGTCTTCTACTTAAGTGTTCTTCCAGGACTAAAAAACTAGAGATTAAAATGCAAACAACCAGAGAATTAATGAAATTGGGCACACTTTGCCTAATTCCTCTAGCAATTCATAAAGTGATTATAACTAAACCAAGATAATAAAAAACCATGAGTGACTAAAAAGAAATGTTGACGTGTACTGCATTGTCTTCTTTGCAGTTCTTCCCTACCCTCTCAATCTTTGTCCATTTATTACAATTCAATTCAGATATCACCAACATTGAACACCTGTTCTATTTCTGCCCATAGATGACTTTCCTTGGTAGCCTAGAAATACCTCATGACATCTCTGTCATGCAACTTAACACAAAGGATAACTGAATGTTTATTTGTCTAGCTCTTCCCTGAAGTATCAACACATTGGCAAAAGACAAAAAGTCTGTGATATAGTATCTAATCACACAGAGTTTTCAAAAGGAAAGGTAATGAGGCTGGAGAAGCAGTCCTTACTTAGGACTATGTAAGGTCATTCTTTTATTCTAAGTAGAATAATGTAAGAAGGGCAAGATCTCAGATACCTTGTTAAAGGAAGACTGTGACTACCACAGGGAGAGCTATAGCAGGAGTGACTAGAATGGACCCAGTGCAGTATGTATGGTGCTTTTTTTGAGAAGAAAGCAGGACAGTGTTGGATCCAGAGAAGTCCCAAGATTGAAGTATTTATGGGATGACAGTACAGGAGGAATACAGGAATTACCAACTACCTCAATTATTAATAGAGCAAAAACTCCCATGGAAATTAGAGAGCCAAAGCATATTGCAGTTTTAGACAAATATGCAACAAATATGTCAGGGAAGGGGTAAAGTGAGTAAGACTTTCGGAAGAGGGTTTTATTATAAACATGTAACTAAAGGATAATACATACCACTTCACTAGGCAGGCTTTTTAAAAATTTTTGTTGTTCTTTTTAAAATCTTAATCTATATTTTTTTCTTGAAATTATGTCCATAGCTAAAAATCTACAAAGCATTGTCTATAATTGGTTTTCTCTGTCTATGATTTCAAGAACTTTGCAAAACTGTGTTATATATTATAAATTGACTTGCTCAAAAAGAGTTTTCTCTTTAGAAATCTTTTTTATTAAACCAAACAGACACTGCTGGCTGTTTGTCTTGCAATTCCATTATAAGTAGCAGCAGTACCCTCTGATTTCTAAAACATTCTCTTAGCCTCCTGGTTGAGTTAATCTGTAACTGTAGATAATTTATTGGATAAGCTAGGTGGTCCAGTAAGATCTATCCTAGTGAACATAGATTTAAAGCATCAGATCATCAACCACCTAATACACGCAAAACGTAATTAGTTACTTTCTCACCTGAGAGTTTGGTATTATCTGATAAATTCTGATCCTTCTGCATCCTGCTGACAGAGGTCTCTTGTTTTGAAACTGTGTCTGTGATCCCCAGCTTTGATCCTTCTTCTGTATTTCCACCAAGCTTGCAGTTTTCTGGGCCTAGGTCACAGCTGGGGACCTCCTCCCCATTGACTTCAGGTGACACTTCCTCATCCTCCTCAGCTTTGGGCCTTTTAGAATGAGACCTAGTGCACTGGGCGCTATGAAAAAGAGGAGTGATGTTCAGAAAAAAAAAGGTTGTAATGGATATTAAAAAACCTACATATTGATATTATTGTCATTTGCTTACAAAAAGAAAAAGCTAAAACTTTTAACCTTATGCAAAGATAATCTTCACAATAGATGGAATCTGAAATTGAAATATTAAAACTTTAATACCCACTGACTAAAAATTAAAATCTGACCAATTATAAACTTGATTAATTAACATTGTAGAAAAAATAAAAGATCACTGTTGAATTTTTTTTGGACACAGAGTCTATGGAGCCCAGTCTGAACTGGAAATCATGCCTTGCCTCAGCCTCTAGAGTGCTATGGCATCATAGGAATGCACCACCCCCCCTAGCTAATATGTACAATTTTATGTTTTTATGTATGAGCTAAAACTTTAAATTGTAAAAAAATTTTGAAAAATAGAAGTCTAAATATAAATAAAATAAAAATAATGACACAGTGAAAAGGGAAAATACTAATGATTTAGATAAAGAAGAAAGGAAGAAAAAATTAGGAGGCCCTCTAAAGCTGATATTAGGATCTGATAAATTATTTATGCTTCAAGGTTAACTACTGACTTTCTTTCCCTGAGCCTTATATAATTCTCAGGTATGCATGAAAATCACCCAGATTAAATTCCAAATCATTGATAGCTCAAGGATGGAAAAAGGCTAACTACATGTATTTAATGTCTTATATCAACAGACTAAGAGTGGGCACTTTTTATTTACTTCCTCTGTTGTTATTTTCCAGTAAGTCTGACAACTTTTGTAACAATTACGAACAATTATAAATCAACTCAAAGCAACAGTGCCTCCACTCCCCTACAAACACACATTATTTGCACATGAGACAATACCACAGACTAAGCAGTGCAAGATATCAAGAAAGGCAGAGAGGCAAGAAAGAAAATAGCCAGGGACAGCCCACAAAAATTAGCTGTGGTTGCTGCTAATGGAATAATAGTATTGGTATCATTATTACCATGATCATCCCTTTTGGTGAGGATGCGAGCAGCGGCCCATTTTATGAGCAGTGTTGTACATGTAAATACAGGATGGTTGACATTTCTTGGAGTTTTCAAGGAATCGTTACATTTATTGGGCTTCCATAAAAATGGTATTACTGAAGACAGATGTGCAATCTCTAAGTCACAGGCTGTGCATATCAAACAAGCTTCTTATTAAGCTTTCTAACAAACTGAACAAGGTTCATTTATTATTTTAACCTACTGACAAAATTTTCAAATGTGTTCAATACCACATATCTATGTTATCCATACTCAAAAGACCTACTTAGTTTAACAAGTAGACCAATTCATAGACTTAACTGGAGTATTGTCTTTTCTGCTCATTAAAGTCAGTCCTCAAGATGTACTACTAGTGTATATTCTGAGCTCAAGATTGAATACTGCCTACTTCCAAAGCTGCTGGTGTTTTGGTAATGTAGAGTAACACATTTTTCAAAGGCACTGCCACTCTCAATTATTATTTCTCAAACATTGTTACCCATAGTAAGTCATATACTGTAGGTAGTGACACAACATACACCTATATACATTCACACATATTATGAGGTAATAATTACCCTTACCACATGTGAAGCACTATGTTACTTTTTATTATGTTTTACCTCCTAATTTTAAGATGTTGGTCTTGACCTATTAAATCGATTTAAGAACTAATATTTTGAAAATCTTTCCTGCAAATGATAGGGTAAAATATCAACACCTGAGTTTTAGATTAGCTACTAAATAGTTCTGTGCCCGACTCCATGTTCTTAAGGTTCCTCTGGCTCACAACCATTCTAAAACAGTAAAAAATAAATGCCAAGGGGAAAAAAGAGTCAGAAAATAAGCATTAGAAATGTGGGCAAACAATTAAAATTACAATGTTATTATAGCAAAAAAGTAGAAACAAGCTACAGGTCGAAATACAAGGGATTAGTTAAATACATGCAGGCACTAAAAATTTTTGCTATAGAAAATAATTTAATTACATGAAAAAACACATAACTAGTCATCATATTGTTAAAGAGCATGGCCCAATTTTGAAAAGGCATATATTAATATATAATAAATACATATGTAAAGGATATATACAAAATGTTAAAATTAGTTATCTCTGGATAGTAAGGATATGGGTGAATTGGGATTACTTCATTATTCTTTTCCTTTATTTTACAAATTTTCTCCAATGCTCACATATTACTTTTACAATCTGAAAGAAAAACAATGAGCAATACTGTAGAGGAAAACATAAAACTGAAAAAATAAAGAGCTAAAAGGTAGCCTAAGGATCTGAGCAACACAACACATACTCTATTCAGTTGGTTTTTAAATAGAAAGCTACCCACAGAAGTCATAAAGTTTTGACATGGCTCTGGCCACAAAAACGGAATGGACAACCATGGTACAGTTCTACTTTACTTCTTATAAAAGAAAAAATCACTGTGCAATATGTAGCAAATGATAAGAATTCAGATGAGAAAAGTAATTATCTCAGATGTTCAACAAATGAACTACTAAAGTCAGAAAGAAAATCAATAGCAAAATGAACAGTTATTGAAGTAGTTAAAATATGGAGATGAATGTAAAGAGCCAATATAACTTTAAAATACGTTAGTGTAAAGAGTCGAAAAGGTTCTAACTTGTTCTATTTGCCAGATATACTGAGTTCAGGAATATTCTCAAATGCAATATACATCTCTTTCTACGATCTGTTTACTACATATCCCAAGAATTAAAAAATACTTTATCTCAAAATGTCAGTAAGATACTAAGCAAATTTATGATACAGAAAAAGAAATAAAAAAAACTTATAGAAATAGCCTTCAAATATACATTTTAATTGATTAAATACTTCAAGCAGGATAGATGGTGTCATTACCTCTTGGGTGTTTTTCTTAATTTCCTTCTCCTCTGCAGCCATGCTTTTACTTCAGGGGTAGATTCTGGAGTAGGCTTTGTGTGGTCTATGGTGTATATATCCTTTCCTTGTTTCCAAAGCTGGTATCTGTCTGGCTGAAATTTTCTCACAAAGATGTCCATTGAGATTTTACCATGTCTTTCCTGCAAGTGCACTGAAACACAAAGGAACAATTTCAATATAATTTGCGATGAAACATTTTGGTAACTATAAAAGTCAAACGGAGTTAACAAACCAAACTTCTTCAGAATAGAGATGAGAACTTATATATCCTCATTTATAAATGTGAAAATACTTGGGCAGGGAGTATGGCTCAAGAGGTAGAGTATTGCCTGGCATGGTCAAGGCCCTGAGTTCAATCCCCAGTAGGAAGAGAAGACAGGAGGGGCAGAGAAGAGAGAAGAGGAGAGGAGAGGAAGACTGTGCACTTATTAGTAATAGAAGGATTACCCTCCTATGCTCCTATGACAAGGATGCATTAAAATGTGAATTGTTGATAGAGTGTGAAGGGTAAGTATGAAAACCAGATCCTATGGCTTAGATGTGGTCTGAATATTCCAAAGATCCATTGTGATAAAAGGCTTAGTCCTCAGGGTGGTACTTTTGGGAGGGGTGGAACTTTGGGATGTGGGGCTTTGTGGGAGGATCTAATGCCATTTAAGACAAGAGATGTTTTTTGTAGTACTTTTTTGGTAGTTCATGTATGACTTCAGTAATTCCCTTGGGAAGAGTCTGGTTATAAAAAGAGCAAGACTTTCCCCAGCCACCTTCTTTCTCTCTGCTCCTGTTGCAGATATGAACCTTTGCTTCTACAAGAACGCCTGACATGATGTGCCACCATCCACCACCTTCACTAGGGGAAAAACAAATGTGCCATCACATTTAGGATGCTGAGCCTCCAAAACTGAGAGTTAAATAAACCTTTTCTCTCAATAAGTTAGCTTTCATTTTAGAACAGCAAAACTGACTAATACATCAGAATTGTCAATGAATAAAAGAACCCAAAGAACATTATCATTAAAAGAATTCAAGTAATAACTTGAGATAAATTTTCTGTAAGATATATTTCAATTACATTTGTTTTTATTAACAAATACATTTACAAGGCAACCAATAATTAGGAACACATAAATAGCTTCCACATTACATCAAATACAATATTTAACACCACAAACAACTACACAACAAACACATCTCATGGAAGAGGGCAGAGGATTAGGTGAAAAGTTCAAAGGAAACGTTATTTTATGTCCACTATGACCATGACTCCCACGAATATATGGTCATCATTTATATCCAATAAAAGAAGTTTCCTGAAAACATATGGGTTTAATTGAATATAGGCCAAAACTCTATGCATTACAGAAGATATTATTCAAATAAATAGTCTCAAAGATTTATGTGATATACCTTAACAGTCCTTTACCTGGTGACAGACTAGTTGGCCAAACATAAGCCTTTCTTTACACGATAAGATTGCCAATATCTTAGTGACACAATTATCATGTCCATATTAATTAATTTCAAGTCCTAATATCCTCTACTCTCAATTTCCCTTCATAGAGTTCTCATCTAAATGCAAGAACTTCTTCTAAATTGATTAGGCATAGGAAGGGTACACCCACACACCTCAACAGAAGCTACCCGAGAAAGGCCTGTGCAAAGCTCTGTCTGATGACTTGATGCCCATAAAAACGTACAGAGAAAACCAACATAGATTTGGAGAATTGTGTACCAGAAAATGTAAGTGAAACTTCTTTCTTTTTTTTTGGCAATTTTGTAACTTTATTTGACACTCAATATTTAGTTCTCATCCACACTGCCTGTGGATTTCTTTCTAATGTGGTAACAGAGACATACATCACCAAAGTATAGAGCTTGTCTGGTGAATCTCCATCGAGACTAACTTCTTTAACTGCAAAGAGAAAGCCCATCACAATCAATGATACCAAAATTCTTCCATTCCCCTATATCCACAGTCAATATTTGGTAGCCCTCCCTACGCCTCCAACCCAAGAAATTCAGCATGCTGTAATTAAAATTGATTCTTACTATAAAATTTCTCCTGCAATTACTTCTGCATCCTTCTAAATTCACAGCCAGACCCTGAATCCTATCAAACCAAAGCTAACTAATTTCCATCTCTCACACTATCACTCTTTACAGCAATTACTTTAATCTCTCTAAAATATCTTGTAATCTTACAATTTTCATTTCAATAAGGTACACTCATTCTGCTCTTCCTTTAAAACAATGTCTAAGCTCTAAGTTGTAAATGTGGCATTCGAGAGCTCCAAGATTTTACTCCCTCAGGGAGATAGTCAGGTTTCTCTCCCACTGCAAGTTAACATGAATATTCCTTTTCAACTCATGTTTCTGGAACCCAAAGATTGAGAGATGCCAAGATGGCAACTAGAGGGAGGAAGCAGAAAGCGTGTTTCCTAAAGTAAAATCTTGGAGAGACACTGGAGATACACCTTGCAGGAAAAACCACCAAGAAGAGGCAAAACTCCAACACCTCCACACCCTCAGTCCATGCATAGCATCCCCCGGCCACGTTAAATGGAGAAACCAGGAGGCCTCCTACGCCACCAGATGCCAGTTCCTAACCTGCTTGGGAAGACCCAGACCACGAGATGAGCTAAGCAGCACACAGTACTTCCACAGACAACCCTGGGCCAGATCAGCATAGCCCCCTGGACAGACTGACCCTCACCAGAGGGAAGAAAAAAGAGAAAAAAACAAACTGGATAATAAACAAGCAGCTGAAAAAAAAAAAAAAGACAAGTAGCAAAGAGGACAGAGCGCCCTGAGCCCCAGAGTGTGGGGGAGGGGAAATCCCTCTTGGAACTGTAAATTAACAAGCCGGCCAGAGAAGGCAGCGGCAGCGGCACCGCCCAGCAACCTTGGAGAGGGGAACGCTTATAACAGCGGCTGTCGTGTGGAAAGCTCCACCAAAGTGGGTGGGGCAGGGGCACTTCTCCTCCCAAATTGTAATTAAAAAAGACAGCAATTGTAAAAGGCGGGTACGGCTGTATACTGGAGAAAACAAAAGGGACATGCGTCCAGAACTCTAAATAAACAAAGCCTGCAGCAGCACATGGCTGACAGTAGGAGGCAGGTGAGCCACAGCCTCAGATAGACATTCACAAAGCTGTCTCCAGACTCCCTTTCTTTTTTTTTTTTTTTTTCTCTCTTCCTTTGATGAGACAACACCACCAGATGCTGAAGGACTAACTGAAACTGTACTGCAATTTGAACTTGGGATGTTTTTTTGTTTGTTTTTATTTTTGTTTTTTGGGTTTTTGGCGGGTTTTACCCCTTTGATGAGAAAATGACAGAATTACTTCACAGACACTGAGAAGTCTTTAGGACTGGAGGCTGAAGGACTAACACCAAAATTATTAAGACTGAAACTTTATTGCATTTGAGCTTGTGGGTTTTTTGTCTTTTTCTAATTTTTTTTATCATTTTCATTATCCTCTCTCTGTCTCTCTAATGCCTGTTTAGTGTACTGTTGATTAATACACTATCTCTCCCTGCTTATTTCTTTGGCTCTGTTTTTTTTGTTTGGTAATTTTTGTTTGTTTGTTTTGGTTTTTTTTTTTTCCCTTTTTCTTTACCTTCTTTGCTTTCCCTCTCCTCTCACCCTTCCATTCTAGATATCACTATTATTATTATTACAAGCTAGACAAAACTGAATTACACACAGTACAGGGACAGTAACAATAGCAAAGGCAATGATGGGAAGATGGAAAAAAGAGGGAAACCAGTTTCCTCCCAATAATAAATTAGTACAGGAAATCAGATACTCAGATCCAGACTCCAACAAAACGATTAAACTATGCCAAAGAACCCAATGAAGCCCACAAGAACACTCTGAAAGAAAAAATCCTTCAAGTAATCAATGAGAAATTTATAGAGATGATATTGGATATGGTCAACCAAAATGTACAGGAGACACTCAAGAAATTCCAAGACAACAAAAATAGAGAATTTGAGGAAGCCAAGAACAAATAAAAGAAACCATAGAAGCACTGTATAAACACCAAAGTGAAACAAAGAACTCGATAAATAGAGATAAATGGAACCCAAAGACACCAAAGCATCCTTAATCACAGAATTTTGGTCCTACCACAGTGACTTTCTGCTCAGCAGTCAGCTAGCCAAAGAAAATTCATCTTTAACACTATATGCTAATGGTACTGATTATTCCTTGGAACAATCAGTTTTTTGTTTTTTGGGGGTTTTTTTTGTAGAAATGTGGATGATGAGGATCCTGAAAAACTTAAATATATTTTAGGTTAAGATGTGATCTTTCAACACATCAAAAATAAGCCAGGAACAGGTGGCTCATACCTACAATTCTAGCTACTCTGGAAGCAGAGATCAGGAGGACCACAATTGAAAGCCAGCCTGGGCAAATAGTTCACGAGACCCTATCCTGAAAATACTCAATACAAAAAAGGGCTGGCAAAGTGGCTCAAGTGGTAGAGTACCTGCGTAGGAAGCATGAGGCTCTGAGATCAAACCCCAGTACCACCAAAAAGAAACAAAGACAGAAGAAAAAGCTTGGACTCATGAGCAGAAACTTCATTTTCTTAAACTGTTACAAATTTTGCTTCATGAAGAAAAATAAACAGTGGACAACATTGATTCTCACTCCTTTAATGAGCTAAGTTAGGCCTAGCATGATTACGATTGTAAATTCTCCAGTGCATATAGGCCAGTAAGCTACATAATAATATTTCTGAGAAAACATGTATTAGGAAAAAAATCCTTTATCCTAATGCTCATCTTATTCGCCCAGATGGTGCTGGATTCACCAGGAGGATCGTGGTCCAAACCCAGTCAGAACAAATAGTTCTTGAGACCCTATCTAGAAAAATCCCATCACAAAATAGGGTTGGTGGAGTGGCTCAAGGTGTAGTGCCAAGGTCAAGCCCTAGTACTGCAAAAAAAAAAGAAAAAGAATATTTGGAAACTGAAGAAAACATAAATAAAATGATAAAAACCATTTATTTCTTAAAAACAGTAACTGCCAACATTTTGATGTTCCATTTCAGTTTTTCTATGGTTATGAATATCAATGTGGTATAATTCTAAGATATCATCTATTATAAAAAAAGAAAGAAATTAGACAGAGTGATCTGATAACCCACTCATGTTAGAATTTTCCAAAATCACATAAACCCACCAATAATTACAACCTAATTGATGGAATAAAAACTAATATACAATGTAAGATTATTCCATCAATGCTCTGTATTTGATTATTATGCATTGGAAGATAAGCAAAAACAAGACACCTTATCAGTTTGCTGAAGAACTTTTAGGCCATGATGCAACATAATACAGTGCTTAAAAGACTGGACTCAAACCCCAGTTTAAATAGTGACAAGCAATGTAAACTTAAGCAATGTATTTAACCTCTCTGTGCCTTAGTTACCTCAACTTGAAAACTGGAAGAAAAAAATGATAACCACTACCATGGAGCTGATACTATAAGGATTATACCTTTTATACTTGTAAACCACTGCAACAATTGTGATATAAGGGCCAATTTTTAAGAAAATATGATACATGTTATACAAAATGCTTTTTAAAGGTGTGACCATGGAAACATAGAGGTTCCTAGTGTTATGTTTTGCCTTACTCCGAAGGTTGAAGCAACTAAGGAAATAAGAATCAGACTGCCATGTCTAACAACTTGCCTTGAGACTCAAGGAAAAGTACACAGTGGTGTAGAAGAGTCAAGCAGGAAGAGCAACTCTGGATTTCTGTGGGGCTGAGAGATAAGAGAACTGAGTCAATGTCATGAGGAGACATGAGTGCAGTCCACATTCCATTTGGGTCATATGCTGCAATCAGACTAACCTCCTTAGCCTCTCACCTTAAACAAACAACTAAAAATGGAGCCCCAGTAAATGTCAAGAATTAATAAGGGAAAATGCACATAACATAAATCCATGTTGCTCAGGGTAAAAGATAAGGATAATGTAAGGAAGAATAAAAAGGAGGCCGAGACTTAACTCATTTGACTTCTTTCTCCATTGTTTCAAAAAGAAAAAAAAAACGACCTCTTTTTAATAGAAGAATTTAATGGTACATGACTCCAGGTATGTGGTTTCAGGAAGCATGTGATTATAGCCACTAAAATCTCAGTATTGAAGAATAACTTTCAGTACATGGTATAGGGGGAGAGGTGGTTACTAATCCTGCTTACATACAAAATTCCAAATAATTTCAATCATGAGTATATCACACCCCAGAGAGGGTAAGAATTAAAATTAAGAGAATTTCTAAATCTTATTCAATAAATTCCAAACAATTATGAAGACTACTCAATGTATAGGATGAATTAAATTTATTGAATACAAAAATCATAAGGAAGGGAGGAACAAGTAGTGGCAAACTCTTATTTTAAAAAATTTAAAATGTCCAAATGAACAACATACTTTTTACCTTCTGTGGAGGAAGGAGCAGTCAGTGTGTCTAAGGCTATCATGTCCTTTAAGCCTAAGACACTCTCCTTTGTGATAATCACTGTAATTGGTTAATATTAATAAAAAAAAACTCATACTAAAAAAGTCAAGTGACATATTTATTGCTATTTTCTTATGAATTCAAATCAATAATTGAAAAAAACAAGTTGGTGGTGAATGTCCTTTTTGTTTTTCTTGGGTTGTTTTTTTTTTCCAGTACGGGGATTTGAACTCAGGGCCTCCGGCTTGTTAGTCAGGTACTCCTACCACTTGAGCTATGCCTCCAGCCCAAATACTGTATTTTTTAATCAAATTCTACCCTCTCTTCACCAAAAGGAGTATTTTGTTCTTAATTATTACCAGCTAATTATCTTCAAGGTACAAGGAAATTGCTGTTAAACCTGTATAAAAGAAGCATATGGTTTCTATCCCACACCTAGCAAACCTGACTAACAGACATGAAAGTACCGTTGGGAGTATATATAAAATTTTAAGACAGCAGATTCTTTACTCCCATTTCCTGCATAGAGAACAGTAAATGTTTCTTTGGTGTTCCCCCACCCCCTACTTCTCCCTACTTTATCCTGTTATACTAAAACTAAAATAATGCCTCTCTAAATGTCAAAAAAAAATTAAGATGTCAAATGCTCAACAAAATTGTAGGGGTTGGAGGCGAGAGGAAGGGGTAGAGGGAAAGGGAGCGGGCGGGGGAAAGGGGGGAGTAATGACCCAATCATTGTATGCACATATGAATAAAGGAAAAAAAAATTTTTTAAATGCTCAACAAACTTGCAATTCATTGGCTTTGAGAACCCAAGAGTTTATGTGTTATATTAAGAACAGAAGAGAGATACTCTATTTCATAGTTTTTTTAAAAAACTGTCTTTAGACCAGGTGTGTTGGCACATGCCTGCAATTTCAAAACTTAGGAAGAAAAGGCAGGATTGTGACTTCAAAACCAGGCTGGTCTACATAGTGAGACCCTGTCTCATAAACAAAATAAATAGACAAACAAACAAAAATCCTCTTTAACCAAAATGGTAAGACTTAAAAATAACATACTACCACTATTAGTTATTATTCATAATTAATAATTATTAGCTGTTTATACTTTAAGTACTGCTAAGTGTTACACATAATAACCTTTTTTAATGAGGAAATATGAATAATGTGGCAACTAATTAGCAACAAAATCAGTCACTAGGCATAACAAACAATTTCATTCTAAATCATCAAATTACACTCACATAGTCACAAAAACAATATAATAGTAAGTTTCAATAGGGCTGGCAGAGAGACTCATGATAGAGTGCCTGCCTAGAAAGTGTAAGGCCTTGAATTCAAACTCCATACCAATAAAATAAGATAGTTCAATATAAATATCTTAAAATTTAGACAATTCTATGATTAAAGCATCATTCGAATTTTTAGCTATAGAATATGGGTATTATGAGTCTTTCTTTTTTGATTTGATTTTTAACCAAATGATCTATAATCTACTCTGTTCTTCCAGTTTGCATCTCTTTCATTCCTGGCTCATCTACAAATCTATCC